TAAGGGGTTCAGGAGTCTTTATACAAAAGGACTTACCGTTGCCAGACCGTGTAAAAAGACAAGAAGCCGAAAAAGAACTACAACTTAGGTTAGACGCTGGCGAAAAGAACCTGAAAATTGTAAATTTCGGGTTGTAAGGCCTCGGCAGAGAATGATGCCGAAGCCACTCTGAGTGAATCACGAAGCCACTTAAATAGGCTTCGGATCTGTTACACTAATGCCCGAAGCTTACTTAATAAGCGATCGGAACTAGGTGTACAGATTGACTCTGCGAAGCCAGACATAATCTCAGTTACAGAAACCTGGCTGACACAGGCTATAGATAGTATGGAACTTGATTTCGAGGGTTTTACGTTAGTAAAAGCCGACAGAATACAAAAGCGTAAAGGAGGGGGAGTACCTCTATTCACTAGGAATGCTATCCCATTTGCCATTATCGAGAGTGTATCCCATGAGAGTGGGACGTGTTCATTAGTTAGTCTACGCTTAAAATGAAATGGACAAGAGCTGCTGATTGGTTTGGTCTATCGCAGTCCAAGCTGTGAGGTAAATGAAGTCCTGCTAAGCAGTCTCAATACTTGGTCACAAAGTGGTCGATGTCTAATCCTAGGGGACTTTAATGCACCAATGGTAGACTGGGGAAATCTGCGAACTGAATCGTCAGAAAATTCCTTTGAGCAGGAACTAGTTGATGCGGTTATCACATGTGACCTGGTGCAACATGTGAAAAAAGCGACCAGGTACGACTCGGACACTGAATCATCCTTACTAGATCTGATACTCACTCACTATGTGGATGACGTTGCGAACCTCCATTATATGCCACCTCTAGGTAAAAGTGATCACGCAGTTTTCATTTTCGACTGTCATATAACTGTCAGTCACAAGCACTCATCAGCCCAATTGTGGTGTTTGAATGAATAAATGATACCTTTGTACTTGTTGAATGCTCGATTTCGAATTCCAAATACAATACATTCGTTTATGCTTGTGTCTCACTTCTTAATTTAATTGCGTTAATTCTGGGATTCCTAGTTCATACTACAATTCAAATAATTCAAAACATTATACCAATCCAGACCTAACGTCTGGAAAGTGAATATACCAGATGTCATGCACTCAGCATAGTTAGTAGATTGGACAATATGCCCAGAGTCCTCAGTTGAAACGGCTTGGGACGCATTTCGAAATTCATACTTAAAAATCACCACACTCCACATCCTTTGGACTATACCAAGGGGACCGAGAAACTCCCCACCATGGTTCACTAGGGGAGTTCTCATCCTTCTCCGTAAGAGATGAAAAATGTGGGATAGATTTAGGTTACTGGGGACTGATGAAACTAAATCCCAGTATAGAAAAGTCCGGAATACCTGTGTCTCGACCCTCCGTAGGTCTAGAGAGCTGTACGAAGAAAAGATTGTTAAGGAATCCATAGAATGTCCTAAACGCTTGTACTCTTATATAAACCAAAGGACAAAGAGAAGAGGAAATATTCCTGCTCTATGTGGAGACAGTACTGCCGCGTCACTAGTGGAGGACGACTTTGGTAAGGCTCAAGTGTTCTCAAACTACTTTAGCAATGTATATACATAGAAGCGCCATTCCCTTCAGTGCATACAGATCCCCTACATAGACACCGGATAGCGTGACCATTAAAGTACTCGATGTCTTTGGTCTACTAAATAAGCTTGACATAGGTGAATTCACGGGGCTCGATGAATTACATCCTAGGGTACTGAAGGAATTATCTAACTTCGTTGCGAACCCTTTAGGGTCTTTTACTAAAAGACTGGAAAACTCCATAGTAAGTCCTGTCTTCAAAACAGGTACGAAACACAAACCTGAGAATTACTGCCCCGTTAGCCTAACTAGTGTGGTTGTTAAAATCTTAGAAAAGATTATTCGGAGGGAGCTGTTTAAGTATCTCGATGAAAACCGGATCATTTCGAGGAAGCAGCACGGTTTCAGAATAGGTTACTCTTGTCTCACTAATTTATTATTGGCTCGTGAAAGCTGGTGCGCTCTTAAGGACCAAAAGTTACCTGTAGACGTAGCCTTCATTGATTTCAGCAAAGCTTTTGGCAAAGTTCCGCACAACCGGCTGTTATATAAGTTGAGAAATGTCGGGATTGGAGGCAATCTATTGATGTAGATAAAAGACTTCTTAGTTGGACGTCAACAAAGAGTTCGGGTGAACTCGACGTTACCTAGTCGAGGAACTGTGCTTAGTGGAGTGCCCCAGGTTACAGTTTTGGGGCCAGTGCTATTCCTCCTGTATATAAATGATTTTCCTCTTCTCCTATCGTCATCAGTCTTGTTATATACTGACGATGTCAAGATATAGAGAACGATACGATGTAAGGACACGAGGACACTCCAAAAAAGTTCACAAGCCAAAAACAAATTACTTGTCAGCTGACTATCGACTTTCCCATCGAATCATCAACGAGTGGAACTCATTACTTCAGCATGTGGTTGAGGCTCCATCCGTCGATTCTTTCAAACGAAAGTTGGATCAACTGAGGGACCACCATTGCCAGGACTAACACAGGCCATCAGGCCTCCTGTCCTTCTCAAACTTAAACTGAAACTATACAGTGAGATATATAAAAAGAGACTTTTGCATTAGTTCTGATTCTGTTCAGAACAGTTTCAAAAGAAGTCTTCCTAGTGTCTCAAACAGAGGAACCGCAGTGTTCGATTATCGATGAGCTCATCGGAATGATTTCACTGACACAAAACTGTGCGATTGCCAATGAATTAACTTTGGTGAGTTAATGGTTTAGTAAGATCTGTGGAGCCAATGAGATGACATTAGAACCTAGCCAAATAATTCGGTAAGCGAGCTTCTCTGTGTCAAATAGTTTACTAATCCTCTCCAGGGTCAAGGACATCTAACGCGCACCAATTACTTGGTGGACTGCCTTATGAGCCAATCGTTACATTCCGTTTCATGAACCAAAACGTTTGGGAGAGATATTGGTACAAAAACGTTTTGTGCCTTACGCATTCACTGGCATGATCATGGATCATCGCAATCTGTTCTATAGATATAGCGACCCTTACTCGAAATTCTCTTATTTGAACTAGTCCCTGAACAGAATCACTGTAGTTTCGGGCTTGACCCATCGTTTATGGGAGTGGGTCTCATAGATAGACTTCAATCATCATTCAGTAATGTTGAAAGAAAGAAAGGCATCATAGGAAGCATATCTCGACTACTCAATGCTGCAAAGCAGATACATTACCTAGAAGAACGTTGGTATAGAAAACGAAAAACTAGATTATCATATACTAGTAAACTCATGATTAAGGTTACTTAGTAAGAGAGATTGTAGTGGTACTGGTCATAATCACACAATCCTCAAAGCTGAACGTGAAATAACTAGGAAAATATAAATTCAACACTTAACACGAAATGAAGGCATATAATGGTGAACGTGGGAATATTTATTCAATAAATCAGATGGCTTGGCTCAGCCTTGCGGACGTGGTCATTATGTACAACTTCTCTTTTCTCACATTGTTCTATCTTTAGCTTAAATGTGTTCTTTACAAATGCCAAACGTTATATCGCAGATTGTTACGATACGACGATTCAGAACAGACAATGATGCGACTTCTATGTATGATCTTATAGATTAGGTTTTCACATCATGGTATATTTACAATTTTAGGACTATTGTTATAATAGTGCTAATAACGAAGTAGACCATAATTCCTCAGGGTCGGGTGCTAAAAAGCACATCTTTACTTTCTTCACTTAGTTGTTTAAATATGATCATGTTAGTGAAAAAATGCAACTACTTACATTGAGCTTAAGAACATATGATAGTAAGTATTTGCAGTAACCAATGTCAAACATTCTCTCGTTCTTCGTAAGAGACAGCTTTATCCACAAAACATGGTAACTGCGCGATATAGGGATTTGTTTTTCTCTCCAAAGGTTGATTAACAGGTATGTGATCACTTCATTCGTGCCACTTGTATGTACTGTCCGCTCAAATAGATATGATTTGTAATCTTCTTCCAATAACCCGATAATTTGCCCTTTCACTAACCCATTACTAACTCATCAGTTTCGCGGCGTAGTTATATGAAAATAAACAGGATAAGTCTCAAACCGTTATATGTGGAGTCACACCACGCTACATGAAATTCGTGCTTCCCAAGAGATTTCAGAATAGTAATTTCACCTATGGAACATGATCCGGGTATTTCTACACCTAACACTCCAAATGTATTTGAAGAATGGCATTCTGGGGCTTTCAAACAACATGTCATCAGACTTTTTTTAACCCGAAGCGTTCTTGGTAATCACTTAGGTAACCTTACAAAAAAGATGTGATCACATTTTTCTGCCTTTAGGAACTCATGATTTATGCAGCATAGTAAGATGAAGAGGCGTGAGCATGAAGTATTTTACTCGGAAACATCAGTCCTAATTCTATTACATTATTATTACAATTTGACCTCTAACCACACTGTTGAAGATATTTCTCAAAGATAGGGAACAAAAATCAACACAAAACAGTACATGTGAACGTTTATGGTTTGCCAAAGCATAGACGGCAAATCTCACTAACAGAAATGGACAATTGTGAAAAGATTCACGACATTCCCTTTACTTAAAGAGAAAACTCCATATATTTTTTTAAAACGAAAATCTCTTATTTATCACCAAAACGCAGGTCCAGAAAAACCTCGGTATTTCTGCTAGGCAATGTTTGAAACTTTGGGGGTCCGATAGCAAGTGATAAAGATTATAAGAACTAAAATACAATCACATCTTAATAGTCTAAACGTTTATGTACAGAATAGAAAAATCTCTCGCTTGACGGACTTTCATATCTAGTAGCAATAGATCTCTGATGCCTCCAGGCAGGACTTTAGGAATATTAGCAATAAAAGAAGAAAAAGTTGGAAATTATAGTAAGATATTGTCCTTAATGCTTAAGAATGTGTCAAGTTTTCTCCTGAAGTACTCCAGAGCAGCCATTTGAACTGGTTCAACGGGCGGCTAGTCCATTCTGCTGTATTGTGTCTTCACTTTCTATGTGTAACCCTAAAAATATTGTAAATTCAGTTTGTGACTTGTGTAGGACACAACTGTAGCTCTTGATAAAATCACCTAGCGTGAGACTGAAGGGTTAAAACTTCCCTCGTCATTAATCTGCGACATTTATATGAACTATATTGCCAGAAACACTTAAACTTGTTTAGATGTTCTAGATAAATTTTGTGTCTAGGCTTGTATTCTATGCGCGGGTTATGAAATCTTCAAAGAATGGGTGGCTTAACTATAAGAAAATCAGGATGCATACCACCAAAATTTATACGCTTGCCCAGTGGAAAATTGTTTGATTGTGGTCGCAAAGTATAATTATATATCATGTTATTTTTTGCTCACAGGTGCTGGTTCATAATATCACAGATTTGCAGTATGTATGCTCTCGCTTAAATATCTCCGAAGATCAGAAGTTTTTCATTCTTACTGAAGTAAGAACTATGTGCTCCGAATAATTTTTAGTATAACGGTGAAAAATGCCTCGTTCCTATTTTTTACCCCCACCACCCTAATAGTCTTCATAACAGAACTTCAAAGTAATTACTATAAAGTACTGTTTCTATTAGTAGACTTTTAATCGCATATTATTTATGCGAACAGTTCCATCTCAAATGTATTCAGCTAGACAACCCACAGGATCTTGCTGATATCAAATTGGTCAGTGATGTCGTCATTGCAAGTAAGTACGTTGTAATTGTTCATGTATGTCATCCATTTTCCTCAATAACTATTTGTTTAATGCTCTCAAAGTATCTCTTCACAGTTTTCTACGCTGCTTATAAATTGCACAGACCAGTTTTTATGTTTTCTCAGTAAGTGGCGAAATTATCAACCAATGTAAAATCTCGTTCTAAATGTCTTAAAAGTAAATGAACTCTTTATTGTTGGAGGAATCTGGATTTTACGTAGAAGTGTATAGACTATCAAAACGCTCATTCGTCTTAGGGTTTCGTTTAAGTTAGCTGAGAACCAAAAGCATCCGTAACTCGAAATTTTGTTTCATAGTTTGCTACGAAGGATTTATGCATTACGAGTATAATTAACTTCACAAAATCTTGTTAGACGTATGTCAAAATAAACTTTAACGCTGACTTGTATGCAACGTATTCTGGTGGTGAGATTTGTGATACGCATTACTAAATTGTTGGCAGAATTAGATGTGTTAAGTGGTCTCATTTTTAAAACAGGAGTTTAACTGGAGTTCTAACTAGTTTGTTTGAGGTCGCATGGCGTCGTATCATGTGACTAATAATTTTTCTACGCAATTACCGTATCATATTAAGCTAAATGTTTCTTTAATTGCTTTCCACACCGTAAATAACTTTGTCAATGGCAATTTATTTTTTGCTCTAGATAAGAATCAGCTAAATACCAGTGAAGAAGACTCAAAAGCACTGTAAGTATTCATTTACCAAGTAAATATCGATATCCAATACTTGTTCAATGGCATTGATTGTTTCAGAATTCAAAATCTAAGTGCTAATGTTCTAACTCTTGAAATCAAAGGGGACACGAAAGGCGATCGACAATTGTCAAAAATGTTTCGGCGACTTTAAGTGATCATTGCAATTTGGCACCGAAGTTAGATGTTTTTGGGTGCGCTATATTCCATACCACTACCATAGAGATCGCTCATGGAAGTACCCGAAATTTTAGTGCTTTTGAGTTATACAGGGATTTGGTTAGGGGCAGTAATCAATCGCTGGAACTGTTTCATATATTTGCGCTCCACTTAAAATGGCTAGCGAAAATCGCAAACAAATACCTACTTCTCAGTTATTTGGTATTGGTTGGACTCTAAAAGTTAGATGTAATACTACTAAAGGATATGATCTAGTCAACAAGCTCGTAAAATTATAGTTCCTGAATTCATCCAGTACTCAGCTGAACTTCGTGAAAAGCAAACACGAAAACATCTAGCAGTTTTAAAACCCAAGAGTAACTTCATTCATCAAGTTAATCAGATTGTTGTGATCAAGTGCTTTCACTGACTTTGAGTTAAACTAACTACACAGTTGTTTTATGAAAACGTTCGAAGTGGAAATTAATGTACTTCCGGTATTGTTTTTCGTTCAATCTTCGGTAGATACTTGAATGCACATGGCTGGATGGAGTTTATCTTGGTTGCTTTTGTGTGATCTACTAAAAAATACTTTTCAGTCTTGCGTCATATCAGTAAGACTAAAAACAAAGTGACCTCTAAAGATAAACTTCTGAACAATGTGTATAGCTTGATGCTATTTTATGTTGCTTAGACGATAGTATTTATCCTATATTATCACTTTAATCATTATTTTAGGCAAGTTTTCATTTGTTCGAGATTATCTTCAGTATTGGTTATTGTTTACAGTACAGGAATATCTAATAAGACAACCTACCCCGTTGCTAAAATGATTACAACCTCTGGTTTATTTAAGTATTTGATTTCTTTACCTGAATTCTAGTTTGTATCTTGGGTGCTACTCATTAGACATGTACATGTTTATGCACTCATTTGTAATCCAAATGCTTTATGGGACGTGGTAATTTCACTCAGCCGTTAAATTCGATGGAAGTAGAAATTTAAAACTTCTGACTCAGTCGATTGTCTTTCCACTATATCATTGCTCTAAGCTTAGTATGTGATCCATGGAATAGGTATACTTTACGTTCTGTTCATTAGTATGGTTTATGAATAACTGTGTCAATGATTCAGCTTCCAATGGTAGTAGGACCCATCATAATTATTGTTACATTGCTTGGTTTACTACAAAATCGTTTGATTCGATTGATGTTTTCTTAGAAATTCCTACTATCTGTTTATTGGTCTGCGAGGAGCTTTTTATCTCTTTAATCATAATATGTATCAGTAAGTTGCGATCAGGTATGTAATCGGCATAAATAGTTACCTATTTAGGTGACACAGTGAAACGATATTAAATACCTTAGTCGTAACCCAGAAAGCGAAGAACGTATACATCTGTAAAATATCATCAAACAAACAAACCCTTTCCAAAAGATCTATAATTTAATAAATAATTGTGGATGAAACTAAGTGACAAGTTACTAGAGCATCATTCACCCAGTCGTTATGATACAATACAAAGCGTATCGGCGTGTGAATTCAAAAGTCGGAAATGTTTTGCTATTTTGTAAAATCTGTCATAAGTTATTCTATTAGACTCTCATCACCTTGAGCTGTTAACCCACTATTAGTCGAATATTTAATATACTGGTCGTTGGAAATCGTAGTTCGAATTTGAGTATAACAATTTGTTACAAAGGACTTGTCGTTCAAGTGGACTGTTCTAGTAGTGCTTATTTCTATGAACGGGATGGTCTTATTGTAAAGTTTTCATTACCATTATATATAACATCAATAGGACTTTTTGACATTATTTTGCTACTATCAAGTTCGTCAGTTCTAATAAACATGTTTGTGATTGGTTGTCTTCACAGGTTTCTCGTACATTTGGATTCCTTCTGATCGTTTTGTTTAATTTGACCAATTACTATGTGATTAAAGGTCTTGGATGATAAATTACACCTATATTTATATATCAGTTAATTTCGTTTTGAAAAATAACGAAAGTCTTACAATTAAATAATCCTACCCTGAGACATGAAGACCATCGAAATATAATCTGTAACCTGTTGAATTACACCATATATTGAAAACAAATTATAATTTCGGTTTAGTTTAAGCAGTCTCATTTTTTCCCATTTAATGTAGAAATAATGATAAGATCAACTGTTTTTCCTAATGATTATCTGGTGAGATTACTGTATATATCATTGTTATTATTGTTTTAGAGAAGACATTTTAAATTCTGAAGAATTGTTCACACGACTGTTAAGTGTGCTTTTGAGTATTCCTGAGCTTACTACTCAATGGGTACATGTGAAAGTAAGTGTGATAATTATTATTAAGACTATTTAAATTATATATCTTGCTATCTATTAATTCTCGAGAGGACAGCATTTGAACTACTACATATTCAGAATTCAAAATATTAATCTAGAATGTTCATCCCTATTAGCAATATTTTGTATTATTATAATAAATATTATGCTTCTTTAAGTCTGATCTTGAGAAAAAAAATCCCAAAATAACTGACCTTAATATGTGACACATTTGTGGATCTTATTTTGCTTATTTTCTTGAAATAAATATATGATAACTACTTTTGGAATAATGTTAAAATATGGGTATGAACTCATCTTTACTATCCAATGCAGTCGTAGAAGCAGTGTTTTGGTAATGATAGTCATTAAGTGCTGTCAAACAAATAGTTTTATCATTTTTTTGGTTTTGTTGGGTCCTCTTAGCTGAATAGTTTAATTATCAAACTAATTATGTTTCCGAACAAAATCATAAGCGCTTAATTTATTTAAAAGTGAACTGCTTCATTAATTCATAGGCGCCTGATAACCTTACCCTTTAAATGGTAATGACATTATCATCACTTTTGATAGTTGATTATACTCAAACTTATATTAGATCACTGATTTATGCTAAATTTAACTTTTAAATTAATCTTTACTTAATGCAATTATAATTGTACTGTAATCGATCAACTATTTGTATTCTGATAATTAGCTAACAACATACAAATGTATCATTTTCGGCAATTTCTTATCATGTTTTCTTCAATGCAATCAAGATTATTTACGAAAAATATTTAGAAATATTGTTGTTAATGGAGTAATTACAATACAGATAAATGAACCGGCTGGTGGGGGTTAATATATATGGTAGTAGTAGTAATAATAATAATGACAACAATAAACAAAAGTCATGTTTGTATTCATTGTTATCAGTTCATAAGTTATGCCTAGTGCTACTTAATAATCTTGATGTATAGAATTTAAACAACAAAATCAATCAATCAATAATAATCTATGCCATTAAGTCACAGAATACGAAATTTTTATTAACACAATTAATTATAATAATACTGAGAAACAAAACAGAAATAAAATTGACGCTCATCTCTTGAAGGTCATTTGAAAATGGTAAAAGTTGTAGAGACTTTATCTGACAACCTTGAAAGTTTCATTATCAATCTATGTGACGATTAATAATGATAGTTTTTGTGTATTTGATAGTTTATCATGTCCTTCTAGTGATATCATAGCATATATGATAAAAAGTAATATCTTATATAGAGTCAGAGAATGTTCTACCGATAAGCTTGTTGTTGTTGATATTACTTTGGAAAATAAATACGTTGAGATAATATTATTTAAAGGAAATAGTTAACGAAGTAATTTTAAAAAAATCCTGTATCCAAAGAATGTACCTGGAAAAAGTTGTTTCTTATTAGTTAAATTCTTTAACTTTTTTTAAAAATGATACGTATTGTTCTTTTTTGTAACGAATATTAACAACAAACGTTTGATAGTCGATTAGTTGTGTTTGATCTTATAAAATCGTTCTTATCTTTATAACAAGGATTATGCATAGAATGAAAAAAGTATTATTTTTGTCTTGTTTTAAGTATTAATTAAGTACTTACATATTACAAGTCATCATCTACAATTATTGTAATTACTCAGTGTTGTATTTCTTTATTTAGAAAATAGGATAATTGTCTTTTTATAATACGAAAATATATAATTTGATTGCTGTGCATTAAAGATAGTTATAATTTACCTGTGTTTGATCGAAATCACTTTCGTTTACAGTTTAAAAATGGTTTTACGAAATACGATTAATTTGATATCATAAGAAGGGAACAACTCATTTCTCATACTAGTTTACTGACAGTTTCGAAAAATCATGAACATGTATTGAATTTGGTTAGCTTGATATTGTTATGGATGTTTTTTCCCCTAAAATTGCATCTTGAATAAAAATCATCCAAGTCTATATCATACCGATGCCTTAGAAATATTGCTCACATCTGCTGGGATCACCGGGTAAGTAATAGTGAGGTTCGACGTAGGGTATTAAGGAATGATGATTAATCAGTTGATGAGGTTGTGAATCTTCACCGACTGAGATAGTTGGGTCACGTGTTGCGTATGCCTAAACACCGATTACCATGACGCACAATGCTGACTAGTGTTGAGGATTGTTAGAAGAAAGTTAGGGGTGGCCAAACCAAAACGTGGCATCAGTCCTTGAAGTCAATAACTTCTGGTCTGAGTCATGTTGAGAGATGCAGACTACTTGGTTGGGGTCCGCGTGACTATTGTAACTAATGGTTGTAGACTCTGGGTGACATGGCTCAGAATCGATCACAATGGCGTCGGCGTATACACCATTTGTCTTCGCTTAAACTGTGAGATTAAATTTGCCTCATATCTTTCTTTCTACGAACGAATTCTTTCTTCCTGTACTATGTCCTTATATACAATCTTTCTTTTATATGTTACCACCACTGAATTAACTACTTTTATGAATCCGGTGTTCATCTTGTTGTGTTAATGAGGTATGGCAACTTGGACTGATGCATATATGTGCCTGGTCCTACGTTGTAGCTGACTGACTAACTATATCACACCTAACAGAAGTTAACATTGTAGGACATAATTAAGCTTAGGTCCTAGAGGTCATGATTAACACCACTTGATTGAGAGTGAACATTAACAACATGCATAGCTAAACTGTTAAAGTGAATTGGAAAGAAGTCACGTAAATCGGGAAAATGAAAAATGTGAAGTAATGCATTGTTCAAGACTTGAAGAAATGTTAGAAAAAAAGAAGACTGGGGCATCGGGACCGGTTTTTAGGTATGTTACCTAGTTTATTGAACAGTAACCCGTATTTTCCTCTCTCTGATCTTAACTATTCCGTACGAACTAAGGTTTAAATCTACTAATCTTATATAGAGTGGTGATACTATGTTTCGATTTGGTTATAATTCAGTATCATTAAGTGTTTTTTAATCTATAACAGTCCCAGGCAATGTAGTAGGGCGAACTATTTTTATGTGTAACTTAGTTTGATGAATTTAACTAACCGCTAGATATTCGCTTATGCAGGTGTAATATTTCCAGCTGTCTTATAATTTTTCACGAATTGTAGTGTACTGAGAAAGTAGACTATTGCAACTAATTCTGGAATTTCTTCATTGATTAATGAGGGTTAAGCTAAATATTCGAGAATAAAGAATTATTTTCATATGAGAATGCATTATGAAGTTAATTTTAAACTCTTGCTATTACATGATTTATAGGATGTTCACATTTATCATATTGTTATGCATTCGATTAACTAAAAATTTACATATCTAATTAGAAACATTTCGGTTCGTTTTTGTGAAAAGTTGATGTTTCTAGTATTCTTGATTTTGATTGGATATTTCTATGGACTCTTAGTATCGATTCAACAGACATTTTTTTAGTGTAGTGGTCAAGATCAATAATAAACGAAAAAAGTGACAGAATCATATCTCTTCGCTGTTTGAAAAATCTTCTGTTCTTCCGTCTCCTAAAGTGATCAATTGTCAGTTTCTTTGTTGACTTTTAATTTCACTTAAATCTTTTCCACTTTTTCTAAGTATCATTAATGAATCGAAACTTATGTTAATTTAATTCGGTTATTTATTTACTCTGAAAAGGTAGCTTACATTAAACCATGAAACGTAAGAAATACAATTCTTCTAAGGAGTGTTCGGTTAAAGAACTGAACTTTGAACTTTTGAGTAATAGTCGGAAGTTCAATCTCTCTCTTAGCAGAATTCGTTTCTGCAACTGGATAATTTGATTGAAATCTTAATACGAATTGACACTTGGTTACTTAATTGCGTAAAGAACATTATTTGAGTTTACAAAACCTATTAATTCAAAGAAAGAAAGAAAAAGAACTTAGTTTTCTTTCGGTTGTTCGTAGGGACTATTCAAATTTCGAGATACTTTTCGTTACAGACTGACTTCAGCCGAATAACTTGGTAATAGTGCTTAGTTATGACTCCTACGGCGACGGAACTTAGCACATTTAGTGAGTATCATTAGCAAGGTTAGACCTGTTAATTTCAAGAAAATTCGGAATTGAATAGACTTTTTGTAATAAAGTGATGATGTATTTTTGTTATCCTTGGGTAAAAATTGGAATTTCTGACATTCCATAACTTAGTGTAAGCTACTTTTTTTCAGCATAAATAACTAACTCGGTCAAGTCAATACAAGTCCAAATAGTATAGAAGGACAGGCAAGTATTTAATTCATTCAGACTTCAAATAGGTCTGTTTATGTCAATATCATGTTATTTTTAATCAATTTGATTCTATGCGGGACAAATTTAGGTTAATTAAAGGTACATTCTAAAGCGATATCACGATCACTACGAAACCACTTAATAAGTTCGACCTCGTTAGAAGTCATGAGTCATTACTTTCAAATAGTTTTCAATTTCGACTTTAATAGCTACTTAATTATCTCTAGTTTTCACAGGATCTCCAACACAATCTCAACTCATTTTTTAATCTATATAATCTGATTCATTTTTTAATTGATTTAGCGTACTACTACTGATTTGTATTAATAGATAAATCATATAAAATTAATGCAATCATCACTAATATACAAGTAAAAGTGTATGAAAAAAAGAAATAATTTACTTTTGTAAAATATATTTTCCTTATAATAAAAATATCTATTTTCTTTTTCTATTAATAAATGTGATACTTTAATAATGAATTGTTTCCAAGTGCTGACGACGTCATTTTTTTTTTCATTTTCATAAAATCATACCCACTTGCAATTTTATATTGAAAAAAAATGTTTAAATAACATTTCAAGTTATATTACCAACCAATGAATTATTCATTCATAACATAAATATTGAATCCTCAAAAGTTGGCATATTTCATGTCTGTCTGTTGAACTAGAGAGAAAATGAAAAAAAGACATTATTTTTACAGAAAATTAAACATTGAGAATATAGTTTGAATAAAGTAA